AGATGCTATACTGACCTTGATTAACAGCCAGGAATCATGCACAGCAGCCAAGCAGTTATGCTAGGTTAGGATTTTATTTTTCTTCAGTTTTGAACTGTATGCGGAAGCAAACCTTGTTTAAAATAGAAACATCATCATTGCAAACAGGAGTTTTTGACAGATCGACTATTAAGATATAATTTTAAATACAGGAGCTCCCAAGGGAGTGAGATGCACCTGCTGAATTCCTGCTGTGACCTGTTTGCAGATGACATGGTGCTGGTTAGGCAGTGAAACGTCTCTATGGACACTCTGATGATTCTAACCTCATTAATGAGTTCCATTAATGGTGTAATCCTGATGATGTGGTTAATGATTTCTAACCTCTGGAAGCCTTTATTGACGCCACTCTGTGTTTTTTAGCTGATACAGATCCAATTTTTTTATATACAGCTTCCATATTTATTTAGGAAATTGTTCACATAAATATTGAAATACTGAAAGTGTTTAAACTTCTTTCATCTGCATCCTTCATGGTTTGAATAATTGGAGTGAAAGACAAAAGCAACCCATCATCATCATTATGGGGGACAAGGTGGAGTCAAGGTCGCGTGAAGATTTGTATAAATGTCAACAAAGTAAGAGTGACCCAAGTTATTCAGAGCAGGAAGTGCAATCAAGAGCATTTTTAAGAAATAATTTATCCAAAATGTAATAATGTTGATCATTTTTCTTGAAGTTGTGCCCATTGTTTGTTTCTGACCTTTTCTCTGCTTTTGGTTTCTTAATTTTAAGTTTTCGTTTGTCTTTATCATGTCCTCTTTTGTTTTTAATCACCACTTGAAGAGCTGAGGTCAATAAATATAATGATTTGCTTTTAATATTAACTTAAAGCTCTATATTCATAAGGAATTTATACAAATTGTTAAAAAGCTAAATGCTTCCAAAACTAAAGCGATATGCTGATGACTCCCAGGTTAATATTAGTGTTTCCAGAAAACCCATATTTTAATCCTTATTTATCTTGATATACTGTATATATTGTTTATTCTTAATGCACCTTTTTCCTCCTTGTTTGCACCTTCTTTAATTACCATGCCAATATGTGACCAGTGAATTTCTCCGCTGTGAGATCAATAAAGCTCATCTAATCATCTAATCGTAATAAAGGTATTGTGGAGGATATTTTAAAAGACCCGCCCACCTCTCCACTCCAAAAAAAATTGCATGCCGGAGCCCATTTCCCCTCTGTTTGGACAGATATTCACTGCTTTTTGCTTCGTTGGTCACATAACTCCTCCTGCTCTGCTGGTGGGCAACAGTGGGCCGGTGTGAGAGCGACATAGTGCTTTGCGAGGAGAGCATTCTGGGATATATTCTCATTCGCTTCAGACACTTTTTCTCTTACAACCTTTGGCCATTTTCAAGGAAGCGCAGTGAGAAAGGCGAGCTTCAATGACTGTCTGAAACCGCAGCTCACCACAGATATCGAAAAAGATGGCTAACGGGGCGAGCACGTAGGACGGCCTTACGTAAACATATATCCTGAAAGATTGACAATCAGGAGGACCACTTATTGAGATGATCCACCCAGAAATAAAAGATAAAAGATAGATTTTAACACATTGTTTTTGGAGTCAAACAATTGATCCCTCCGTGTAGAAAAACTTGCATGTTGACACCATGGTCAGAACATTTCTTTTCATTTACCGTATTTTCCCGACCATAAGGCGCACCGTACTAAAAGGCGCAGT